CAACACGTCTGAAAATGAACTTCAGCGCACCCTCGTCTACATTTGAAATAATTACGAGACGCTCGTGTTACTTGATGAAAGGCTTCGTTTCTGGCTGTTCGGATTTAGGTTCACTCAACGAAAGTCAGATAGATAACACATTATAATCTTATAAAAATCTTTCGGATTGAATTTTTTTTTGTTGGATACTGTTTTTTCTATATGATTGTTTTTCATTTCCATGTTTCCATTTCATTAGAAAATTTAATTTCTGATTCATCAATTTGAATTTTCATGTTCTTAAGAAAAACAACCGGAAATGTAACTTCATGTAGCTTTCCTTGAGAAGATAAATTAGGTAATGTAAGAATAGGAATGTAGCGACCCACACATTATACAGAAAATTCTATAGATTTTACTTTCGAGTACTTATCTATATTATGTAATTCACGAATTTAGAGAAAAACGGAATTTAACGTAGGAGGTGGAAAATTTTATAACTCGAACGTTTGAGAAATTGAATTATAATTTTTCTCCAACGTCTGTACTTGAAAAGAAAAATTTCTAAAATTATTCGAACAAAAAAAAAAGACTTCATTTTATATCACAGCGTGTAGCCTTTCGAGGAAGAAAAAAATGTTCGACTGTTTTTGAAACAAACTAATTTTTAGCGGGTAATTACGATCATTATTATTCCAGAAATGTTTTGTCAGTTTTTCCAAAGAAAATTTTCCTTTCGTATGATAAGGAAGTTCTGTGAATAAAACCATAGGGATCCCCTCAATTATTGTTCTCGTTGATTCTAGATTTGGTGTAGGTACCCACTTGCGATATTTAACGAAATTTGAAATGAAAAAAAAAACAAGCTGGAGATGACACGTGTGGGTTTAATTTATTTTGCAATTACTAATCTGACACTGTTGGAATCTGTATAACCACTCAGGTTGAATGACGTATTTTTGTAGGTTTGGAAAGTAAAAATAAAATAACTAATACAAGGCCGAATAAATTTTACGTTAAAAAAAGGTTGAAAAATAAAAATCGTCAACCATTCTGCAAATCAGTTTATAAATTTTTTACTCGCTTTTTGTCAACTATTCGTAGTGCTTTTGGAAGTAATTTGAGCAATCATTCAATCGATAAATCTTTAAAATGTTTTTCTTTCTATTGATTTTCGAGCTTTCATGTGCCTCTGTGTTAATCAGTGCGAAAAAGTCCGATTGGGTAACCGCAAGTGACTTCAACCCCTCTGTAATTGCCAGCTTGAAACCGCAAGAAGAACATCAACTACTGCTGAAATCGTTGTCGAAAAAAGATTCGCACTTTCTAACCGGCGTATTTTTCTTGGAACTGGTGGCTAAGAGTTTTGGAAATGAATTCTTTGGTTTAGTTGCTGATAAAACTGCTAATCGAGAAAATACTGCCATTGCAAAAGCAGCTTTCAAGTGTCTCGCAAAACTACAGCTCCAAGAACGTGTTGCAAACGTACTGGAATTGGCGACCAACGATGGAGTAGCTTACTTGAATGGAACTGGAGACCTGAGCAAAGCCTTTTCTCGAGTCTGTTCTAAAATTGACGAAGAGCTGGTAAGTGAAACTGTTTACACGAGGATCAAGACTGAGTACAAAAAAAGTAAATCGTGGCTTCCCAAAAAAACGTATCTATATGGCATTGCGAAATCAGAGGACGATTTACGTGAAATCTTTGCACAGCTGGTCAATGACCCACAAATGAAGAAAATCAGTGCACATTTGACATGGTTAGGATTTTTTAGCCATCCGGATGATGTTGCCGTTAAAAAATCGGTTTCCGAATTGGCAAGAGTGCCTGGAAAATTGGAGGTCGTTCAAAAAATCTACGAAAAATCAATCAGCGAAATGATTCCGCAAATCGAAGATGTTCCTCTCGATAAAATAGACACAAGTGGCACTCCAGTGCAAATGAATTTGAGTTATTTGGTGCCTATTTTCTCTCAAAAACTTTTAGAAAATATTCAGGCTGATGATGATTTAAAATCTGTGTTTGAACCAATACTTAAACGTAATCGTGATCAATCCAATTAATCGCTTAGCTCTTATCCCCCGACTTTCATTAATTTGCGATTTGTACAGGAACCTAAAATATCGGTCATAATTCTTTTTCTATAGTCACTCACACGCTGTAGTTTGTTTTTAACTATTTTTGAAGACTTATATTGTTACGTATCTAATAAATTTTTTTACTATCAAAAATAGATTCTAAATATCATATTTAATTGGATAAAGTAGATACAATATACAGAGTTCTCATCAACCAATAAAATTTAATCTGGATTCGTCTAGCTAGGCACTTCAAATAGATTGATACAGTTGAGAGACCATGTTAAAGTCGTTGAATAAAATTTCACGACATGAAAGATATACTCGTACATATGAGCCCCCTCCCCCCAGAACCAGAGTGGAAGTCCAAAAATCAAAAAATTGAGTTAGGGGTGGAATCGGTTTGCTCTGGGGGGGGGAGAGAACTTTCACCTTATAAAAGGATTAATCTCAATTCTCTCAATTTCCACAAGATATGGCTTCTTGAAGTCACCAATTTAACACAGGGCTTATGGCAAATTCAAACACAAATGTCTTCGTTTCTCAAAATGGAAAAAGTGTAACTAACACCACTCCCGTTCTGACGGGCTCATATGTACTACCTACGTTTTTCATATTTGTTAATGTGGTGCCATGTGCTTTTTGAGATATTTTTCAATAAAACAACCAGAACGGATTGCGAAAGAAAGTATTTATAAGCTCTCCGAAGGTTGCTAATATTTTCAATCGTATCTTCCCAATAATTACCAATTAGGTATCTAACTATCTACCTATAATGAATATGTGTCTTACAAAATAACTTCAAACTGAACCCGTTGAATTCACTAACAGACTTCAAGATATAGTTTCTCTAAAGTATATTACATTTAAAATTTTGAATTAATTCAACAGATGTAGGTGATTCAGTAGAAGGGGGTCAGTCAGAGGGCAAATGCTACGGGCGCAAGTTTCTATAGAAGTAAGCTTTGCTGAAAGGAAGGGGCAAACGTTGATGAAGGCCACAGCTCAACTAGCCCTACCCCCTCTAAAGCTACACCTCTAGTCTAATTTGAGCAAAAATTGGAGTTTTAATTATATTTTCAGCGAAGTTTTCGCGCAAGAAAATTCAAAGTACAATGCATGTTATTTCACTTTCTACCATTCGACAAAGAAATGGTACGTTTTAGTTATATCAACATTGAATTGTATCTACATCAATTTAAATATTAATGTAACTTTCTCTCATAGTATTTTATTCGAGTTTTCAATTATGAAAAAGTCTTGTTTATAGAAAAACAGTGAGTTCGTAACTGACTATCTCTTCATTGCGCGATTAATAATTAACAGAATTTTAGATATCTATAAAATCAAGAAACAAATTAATAAATAAATAAACATTTCATTTTTCAGCTCTTTGGCAATCCAAACTTGTTTCTCAGTTTTGATATTTTTATCATTGTTACCGATGTAATACACCTACTGACCTACACGGGAATAATTAAATTTTTGCAGTGTAAGAATAGTTACTAGTACAGTCTGGAAATAGTTACCTAAATTGTCA